GGAAGTGGAAAATGAACAATGGTGTGGATTATAAATCCATGCGAGGCAATAACACGGCTTATTAATCAGAACAATACGACTCAGCGCCAAGGCAGGATTATGGCTCATAAATACAATGTGTACATTGAGATATGGTTTATAGAAACCAACGCAGCGGCTTGTAATTCAAACAATAGAACAGTTTGCTTAACAAATCAAGACTCGTAAATACAATGCATGTTGGAGGATGCTTCATGAATTTGAACTATAATCATTCAATACTATGCTGAACAACACTGTGGGGAGGGAGCGTGTGCTCATGAATAAACTGAACACAGAAAGATGTTGGACATGTGCGTCCTGCAGAGCCAACAAAACCCCAACACAGACATGTAACTCCTACTCAAACATATAACGTTTGTTTAGTTACTGAAATGATATCTTCTGCTCTGGAGGAAGAGAAAATATCTAATGTCGGGTTTAGAAACTACAAAACATGGTGTTACAAACTAGGGTATTTGATTGACATGAGCATTAACCAATCAGGGGGCCGAATGAAAACAAGACACAAGTCCACATCCATGTTCCATGATTTAAAACACTGTATTTATGGTGTGAGAGAACTGTTAACAATAGATGTTAATCATAAAAATAACAACTAACATGTTGATGTTAACCAGGGAATATTTAGCATCTAAGCACCATTTTAGCTTATCGTGTCAACATGTGCAAATGAGCTCAAAACCAGTGGTGGAAGTAGTATTCATATCATTAACTTAACTAGTACAGTAGAGACATTCTCTGCTATGCATTCAACCATCTTATTTAAAAATAGTTACAAAACTATAAGCATCAAGCAAATATACTTCTATAGGTCAGAGTACCAGTACTCATTATGTAGAATGGACCATTCGGGGATTATCTAAATATCTATATTTGTATTATTGGATAATACGTTTTGATGCATTCATGTGCATAACACTTTAATGTTGCAGCTTGCAAAGGTGGGGATCATTTCAACTATTTTATCAAATCTTGGGTAGTTGAATCAGCCATAATACATTCTAATTTAAAAGTGGATTTTACTTTTGTATAAATAATCTGAGTCTGTAAAGTCATTCAATCAGTTAAATAAATGAGATGTAGATGAGTAAAGGTAATGTAGCAGAATGTGGAAATGATTGAGTACCTTAAAGGTCCCATGTCATGTTTTTCCGGTTGTTACCCGTCCCCTTGTGTGTTATGAAGGTGTTTCTGCATGTAAACGGTCTGCAGAGTCAAAAACCCTCAAAGTACACCCTGTAGCGAATAAAACTCTAACACAGAAAATACCTGTCTATGCTGCCCCAGAACGCCTCGTTGGACATTTCTCAGTCTTTTCTCAGCCGCGGCTCCGTGGATCTCCTCTCACAGTTCGCCACACACTCACGTGTGTGTGCTCAGGCTGAGTTTCGCCGTGTCTCGCTGTCTCGCAGACCCCACGCAGCAACCAGGAAACGACACCAGTAATCCAGCTCACACTGTCTGCTCCTCGAGCCTCAAAGGGCGGAGCAGCGAGCCCTGCAACGTCCCGCCAACACGGCACCCAGACCCCACGCAGCATTCTCATCCGTTTGTCATTACTGGTGTCATTTTCTGGTTGCTAACAAACGCCATTGTAACACATAATCACACATCAGGAGGGGGGGGGGGGGGCAGGAGCTCCAACAAGGCGTGTAGGACAGAGAGTGAATACAAATACTATACAGAGATGCTGTATGAGAAACCAATGTGAGTTTGGAACATTGAACAATGTCTAGTAGACCTCAACAATGGATCAGTAGAAATGGCCATGACATGGGACCTTTAACATTGTACTTAGGTATAACTTGAGTAAATGTATTTAATTATACTCCACAACTGCATTCAACAGAGTACGAGAACTAGTATTACAAAAAAAAATGTTTACTATAATAAATACTAATAGGTTTTATACTTGCAAATTGGATTCCTACCTTTAGTGATCACTTAGTGCGTGTACAGTTTTTTTAATTTGGTTGCAGAGATAATTAAGATAGTTTGTAAATATTCATCAAGAGGTTTAATTTGCAAATAAATTACACATTGATATATTCACACAAAAGCAGTGTTGTTTCTGCTCCCTAATTATTATCCTGTCAGGCCACTCCCACAGCCAAATGGTGCCTGGTGTTTTGGATTTCAAACCTTCAGGACTTAGTGTTTCACTCGAGGACACTGTCACAGTCACAGAAAAATAATGCTGATGAAGAACAAATAAACGACAACAAGCAAGCCACTGCTCCTCTCAAAACAGAAAAGCCAGATAAGTCCGAAAAGTGTACGACAAACATCCATTACAGAAACAATCTGGAGACACATCCTGGAACATTTCCATCCCAACACACACAGACGTATTCCAGTGTGTGTTATGGTCATTCAGAGGTAAACAAACATAGTCTGATGCTGGTGACTTTAGAGTGGATTATTCCTCTAATCAATATGTCCCTCCATTCACTGGTTGTTTGTTTTCCCTCACTGTGAGTTCACTGATGTGAGATGACATTCATGATATTTGCACAATGATAACGCCTTATATGAAATGATGGGTTTTCATTATTTTTTCCCCCTTTAGCTCAACATGGAGATTTCAGATTGTGGTATTGATTAGAGTTCAGATAAACACAGCTGTGTATTGATGACGTTTCTATTGGACGTTCTGATGGTTAATTACAAGGTCGCCTGATGAATCATTTACAGAATAAACTTCATTTACAGATTATTCACTGGAGGAAATCCCATACCACGATATTCTCCCTGATGCACGCTGTATTTATTAAACATGATCAATGTTCACATGCTGTCGACTCGGCACTTTCATATTCAAAAGTGCTGAGCAGCGGATAGCAGAACAGCAATTTAGCATTTAAACAGTTTCTTATTTTAGAGTAAGTAGGACTCGAGGAGATCAGACCTGATAACTGTATTGTCTGTGGATTATGGTCTATCAGGAGTTAACATGGTCGGCATCTGTACAAAGAGGAAGTGGAAGCCGTGTTGAATGGATGTGCATCCTCAGCACATTTTACATCCAATACTGCTGATAACACAGCAGGGTTTAGCCAATAACAGATAAGCCTGTGTGGAAGAAGAGAGAATATTTTTAGCATTTATCTGAGGATGCACATCCTGCCACTGATTCCTCACGTTGGGTGCTTTAGCTGTGGAGGGAGAGGATACATATGTCGGATTGGTATCTTCTATATCTAGCAGCACTTTAACCAATAACAGTTTAGCATGTGGGGACTGTAGGCTGTGATATAAAAAGCAGGATTGTACTTTTCTTCTGGAAAGCAACAGTAATTAATGAACTAAAAGCTATTGTTGTCTAATAAACTTTAACAGATTTAACTTTACGATAATTATTTGTTGTCAGTTCCTAGTTTGAATTTGAAGTCGCATTGCAGCAGCTCCGTTTACAACATCAACAAGGACAAATATTAAAGAGGCCCTATTCTGCTTTTTGGGTTTCTCTCCCATTCTCACTGGGTGCTTCTCAATGTCGAGGACGCTTCCTTGGTAGGACATGTCTTCCGAGTCAATTGCTTCAGAAGCGAGGCAAGAATCCTTCCTCGCCTCGGAAAACGAAGAATGGTGGAAAGAGGCTAACCGGTGTGCGTCATATGCGAGGCCCCGCCTTTAAATGGAGCGCGATTTCCGCCAAAGATTTGGAAATTGGTCCGTGCGCAAAGCATTGTGGGGATTTTAAGACCGCGGAGGATACACATGCGCAGCTTCGAAACGTCTCGCTACGAAGGAACGCCGACCTCGGTAGAATTCCAAGGAGCCTGGACATCGGAACAGTCCTTCGGCGGGACTCGATGACGTAGCATCCTTGAAATAGTGGCTCTGGAGCATCCTTCCTCGACATTGAGAAACACCCTCTGATTCACTGTGCTCTTGTTAGGATGGTAGAGCTATCATTACACCCAAGTATTTATATGAAAGTACCTATTTGAATTATTCAAATGACAATGTGCAAACACATAATACAAATTGTTAAAGTTAGTTTGAAGTCAGAGCTCTATTAAAGCTGACACATGATGCTAATTGGCTGTCAAATGAAAATGACTCCATTGTTATGCACAGCACAGAGCGCTGCTGCCTGAACTGTTGGAGCATCGATGACACATGCAGAAATAATGAACAGATATGCCAAACAACGGCAAATTGCAGAAGGAAAGACAAAACATCTCTCACAACTGGACACTTATCAACACGTATCAACATGAGAGGCGCTGCAGAAAACTACAGCCAAAGAATCCGACACAAAAACAGTTTCCTTCCAGAGCCGTCACTCTGATGAACATTAAACACCGGCACAAAGTGTGAGGAACAATCACTCTGCACTATCCTCTTAACAAATTCATGATATATTATTAATGCACAGCTTTGTTGAATAGCCTCAACTCTGATTGGTCAATTATTGCATTCGACAGTCCGTTATTTCTGTGTATCAGACCGCTGACAAGGACTTCGTAGAGATCCCAAAACACAGCTAGTGGACTACTTAACGCAATTAAATAATTATTTAAATCAATAACATCGTTTTTAATCTATACTTTGGGTAAAACAAATTTAAATAATTGTTAAATATAACTATGTCATACTGTGCATATTGAAATATCCACCTACCTCTTTTACATTATTTATCCACATTTATTTCAGCACTCCTTTTCACTCAGAACCATTGTCTTACTGTTGACACATTTCATTTCAATTGTGTAGTAACTATATACATTATATACTGTTTAGTATGTTAGTTATTCCTGTACAATGTTTATGTTTTAGCTGCCTTATTGTCCTTCTTATAAGCTATTGGTCTTTTTTGTGTGAGTAAATTGATAGCAGTTCAAACCTGAGTCAAACTCCTTTGATGGTTCACACACCTGGCCAATCAAGCTGATTCTTATTTTGTATAAAGTTATATGAATATCTGTTTGGCCCATGTGTCTCCTCCTCACCTATGAACAGCTGGCTGTTGAGCTGCAGGTGGAGGTGTCCGTCAGCCGGAGCTTCCTGTGTGGCGACAGGAAGTCCGTCCAGCCGCAGCGACGCCTCTTTGACGTTCCTCTCCGCTCTGACTCGATGCCACCGGTTGTCGTTCAGCGGCACCATTGACTCCACATGAACCTCCAGAGGCCCGTTACCGACGTCGAAGGAGAAAACCACCCGAGTGGAGGCTGACGGAGGGGGAGAGAGGGAGAGAGGGAGACGGATGAGACAGGGAGAGGTAAAGGTACGATTTATGGACAGGATAGCGGTCATGGGGAAGACAAATGCAAACGGAAGAATGAACAGATTAGAAATATGGGTCAGGGTTGAAAGAGAAAATCCTAGAGACAATTTGACAACACTTTGAACATCATTTCAGAAAAACTCATTATGAAACATGTTTTTGCGTCTCGTAAATAATCTCATACTTTCTCAGATTCAGACTGACATAGTGTAATAAGTAATAAATATATATCAATTGCCTTATGTTAGCATTTTCAGAATTGTATATACTGGTCTCTAATTCTGTAGAAGTGTTTCAACATTAACTTGACTATAATCCATTAAAGTTGCTCCTCATAATTATATAAATACGACAATGTCAACTTACATTTGTCACTTGTAAAAAAAACTGCAACTGCATTAAATGAGATATTTCCCACTTGAAATATGGTTTATTTATTTAGGTTGTTTTAAAGCTATTTGGCCTCCTAATTTCTGTCTTGGCACATCTGTTATAGCAATTGTGAAAATTAAACCTTTGTGATTTTACAAAAATGTAACAACAGCTCCTATGAAAAAGAAGGAAAGGCAAAGACTCATCCATATCAATAACACTTACCGATGCTCTCTCTTAAAACGGCTATTTCTAACTTTTTAGCTGTAATCTCGCAGCTAGCTAAAAAACTCACCAGCATTCAAACTACCAAAATATAACAAAAAAAAACTAACTGCAAACCCTTGATGTGCCATGAACTTGCTTACTTTGTCAAGCCTTGATGTTTTTGCTCTTGACCTACTAACACTTATGGGGAATTGCGTTTGCAAAAGACAGCAAAAAAATATAATTATTGTTAGACAAAGAAATCTACAGTCCTTACGACATATTTCATTTCATTTCATTTGTATTTGTCCCGCTCATGGTACGCAAAACCAAATGTACAATAATTGCCAACAAAACATGTCTCTACAAACACACCATTGAGCGAAAAGGAGCAGGGAGAAGAATACAATCTGATAGGACCCGCCCCTTTCTAAAAAAAACAAAATAAATACAAATAGATGGTCTGCCCTTCATAATCATTTTTTTTCCACAGCCAAACATAACATTATCTTAGGATACTAAGAGAAACACAAAAAATACTTATTTCCCACAATAAACACAAACAACAACACCAAAACATCACATGTATAAAGAAAAGGAAAAGTACAACACCCTCATCTGAGTCCTACTGGAGAAGAAGGTGGAAAGCGGCGCATAATAATAATAATAATAACATATAAGGCGAGCCACACAACATAGTGCTGAGAAAAGCTCTGGATTTATAGTTACAAGCTCTGTAACACATAATAATGAGACTTTGAATGAGTTTTTCTTAGTTGTGGAACGGACCAGATTCACTTGGGCTCTCCACTGCTCCCCCTTCCAAGAGAAGGAGTCGATGTTGGAGCCTAAAGACATCTCACCCTTTGTGTTTTCCAAGGAGAAGATGTATCACTCCGAGAGCACAGAACAAGATGAAACAATATCCCAGCATCACACGGGTAACTTCATTTGGAAACTGTTCTCAGAGGAAGCGGCAGTATTCGGAGCGGGAACAACCAACACTGACAATGATTTCCCCCGAGGAGCGAGGCTGTTGGAGCAGCAGTGTCCCTGCATCTGATTCTGTGTCCCTTCAAATCCCAATGCCAAATGCAGCACGAAACAACACGGCAAAATAAACTGGGCTGATTGAGCTTCAAAAGGCAGGCTCTGATACCTGGAAGATTGTTTTCCCATTTACACAAATATTACACCTCGCTGCAGAACCATAGAGTACAGACCTGTAGGTGCTTCTGCCATATTTTAAATGCAAACACACCAATGAGGGCTGTAAAGGTATAACTAGGGTTGCAAAGGGACGGAAAGTTTCCGGTAAATTTCCGGAAAGTTTCCATGGGAAGTTAAGCTGGGGAATTTTGGAAATATTCTATGCAAAATTAAACAAAAAACATGACATTTCAAAAGATCTTTTTTTTTTTTTTTTTTTTAAAGTAGAACAGAACAAGTTTTAATTATTTTATTGAACAATTATTTGCTTCATTGAAGAACGAAAACAGGAATGTTGAGTTAAATATTACTCATCTGTGCATGTGATGGAGGAATGCACAGTGCCTGTAGGGGGTGTGGTCTCAATAGCCATGCAGTAAGCAGTGTGCTATGGCATGGATATTCAAGTGTACTTGAATGGCATCTGTTTGTTTTAGTCAAGATTATGCTAAAATATACTTTCCCAAACTATATTTAAGTTCCCTACGAAGAGCCAACCTTTCATTTTGAAAATTCCCAGTTTATTCCCGTTTATTTCCATGGAAAGTTTCCATCTTTGAAAATTCCCGGAATTTTGCAACCCTAGGTATAACACATACGCACTACAATGTTGTACCCCTAAAGTATAAAACACCCTCTTGGTTATTGCTGTCATATTGAATAATATGCAGTGAGGCGGCGGCTAGAAAGCAGAACACAGAGAGCAGAGACAGAAAATATCGTCCGAGCAATGAAAACAGAAAGCTCAAGTGAAGTTAAAGAAGACTAATATGTGTGCTCGCATTTTGGGAAACTAACCCATCCTAGAAGCAGAGCAAAATAAAAGTCTCCCGTTGCTGCAGGCATTTTAGATGTGGTCTGATTTTCAAGCAAGTAACTCTGTGGAAAGAAATCTGTTTATTTCTGTGTTCAGGTTAATGTCGCAGCATACAGTAAGAGTGTTTATTATGCCCAATTAGTTTGTATTTTCTTCTATTTGAACAGCCCAGTTGTTTCCGTAGCTATCAGTCCTTATGTTAAGCTATTCAAACAGCAGTAAAATGTCCCAGCTGGGCCAGCGTATAGGGCTAGTGGCAATGGATGAGTGGGTAAAAGGTGGTATCACCATCAGAATTAAGCATTGTTTGAATCAAAGTGTATGATAGATGAGATCCAATCAGATCACACCACAGTAACAAAGAGATGAGTTTAAACATTTCATAAATAACACATAAAGATGTATGAATGTTTCTTTCTTAACTTCAATTAAATTATCGCTTATTTAATAATTGATATTTGCAGATTTAGTTTAAAAGCGGGTTTTCACAGGCTTTATTGCTTTGTGTGGCAACCGTTTGGGAAGACCCTTTCCTGATTTTGAGCTGCAGTGCACGCTCTATTAAAACGTTTTTTTACAAGTGTGGTGTGGAAGAACTAGACCTGCCTGCACAGAGCCCTGAGCTTGACCTCATGCAATACATTTTAGATGAACTGAACCATCCATCGACGCTCTTGTGGATAAATTGGGTCAAATCCCTGGAGCCAGATTTAAAACTTTTTGAAAAGGCTTCTTGGTTTCCCTGAGCTGTTAAACTTTGTATAACATTCACAGTTGAAGTCAGGACAGGAAGGTCAAGACAGCCGAGTTCAACCTTCAATAAACAATTTCTCTCTTCAGAATACTTTGAAACAGATTAAGTCTCTAACCTCCAGGTTTTACACCGATCCAGATTAAGACTTTGAGTCCCAGGTTTCACTGACACATCACTCTAATCCGGATTAAATCCTCGCCCTTCAGCTCTTACTTACAGCTCAGTTCGATCCGGATGAAGTCTCTGATGCCCAGGTTCTCCAGGAACACACCGGAGGAGGCGGTGGTTTTAAACAGGAAGGAGATATCCGCGCTCAGCTCTCCGTGGAAGGTCGGGAAGTGGAGGTACGACGTCTCCTTGTCGAAAAACGCAGCGTTCCAGAAGTTCTCTGAGAAAAGGGAATGAAAAATCCTCGTCATCATCTATGAAGGGGCCCTATTTTATTTGTTGAGGTTTCCATTTCCTGTAGTGTGTTAATTCTAATGGGAGTTTCTCTCACACACACTTGAAACGCCTGAAACGCCTCCAATGGACTTTCGTACAGACACTTTAAAGTAGAGACACTACATACTGATATACACCTGAACATCAGCAGGAGAGGACTCTTTAAAGTAGAGACACTACATACTGATATACACCTGAACATCAGCAGGAGAGGACTCTTTAAAGTAGAGACACTACATACTGATATACACCTGAACATCAGCAGGAGAGGACTCTTTAAAGTAGAGACACTACATACTGATATACACCTGAACATCAGCAGGAGAGGACTCTTTAAAGTAGAGACACTACATACTGATATACACCTGAACATCAGGAGAGGACTCTTTAAAGTAGAGACACTACATACTGATATACACCTGAACATCAGCATGAGAGGACTCTTTAAAGTAGGGACACTACATACTGATATACACCTGAACATCAGCAGGAGAGGAATCTTTAAAGTAGAGACACTACATACTGATATACACCTGAACATCAGCAGGAGAGGACTCTTTAAAGTAGAGATACTACATACTGATATACACCTGAACATCAGCAGGAGAGGACTCTTTAAAGTAGAGACACTACATACTGATATACACCTGAACATCAGCAGGACAGGACTCTTTAAAGTAGAGACACTACATACTGATATACACCTGAACATCAGCAGGAGAGGACTCTTTAAAGTAGAGACACTACATACTGATATACACCTGAACATCAGCAGGAGAGGACTCTTTAAAGTAGAGACACTACATACTGATATACACCTGAACATCAGCATGAGAGGACTCTTTAAAGTAGGGACACTACATACTGATATACACCTGAACATCAGCAGGAGAGGACTCTTTAAAGTAGAGACACTGCATACTGATATACACCTGAACATCAGCAGGAGAGGACTCTTTAAAGTAGATACACTACATACTGATATACACCTGAACATCAGCAGGAGAGGACTCTTTAAAGTAGAGATACTACATACTGATATACACCTGAACATCAGCAGGAGAGGACTCTTTAAAGTAGAGACACTACATACTGATATACACCTGAACATCAGCAGGAGAGGAATCTTTAAAGTAGAGACACTACATACTGATATACACCTGAACATCAGCAGGAGAGGACTCTTTAAAGTAGAGATACTACATACTGATATACACCTGAACATCAGCAGGAGAGGACTCTTTAAAGTAGATACACTACATACTGATATACACCTGAACATCAGCAGGAGAGGACTCTTTAAAGTAGAGATACTACATACTGATATACACCTGAACATCAGCAGGAGAGGACTCTTTAAAGTAGAGACACTACATACTGATATACACCTGAACATCAGCAGGAGAGGACTCTTTAAAGTAGAGACACTACATACTGATATACACCTGAACATCAGCATGAGAGGACTCTTTAAAGTAGGGACACTACATACTGATATACACCTGAACATCAGCAGGAGAGGACTCTTTAAAGTAGAGACACTGCATACTGATATACACCTGAACATCAGCAGGAGAGGACTCTTTAAAGTAGATACACTACATACTGATATACACCTGAACATCAGCAGGAGAGGACTCTTTAAAGTAGAGATACTACATACTGATATACACCTGAACATCAGCAGGAGAGGACTCTTTAAAGTAGAGACACTACATACTGATATACACCTGAACATCAGCAGGAGAGGACTCTTTAAAGTAGAGACACTACATACTGATATACACCTGAACATCAGCAGGAGAGGACTCTTTAAAGTAGGGACACTAAATACTGATATGAACCTGAAAATGAACATAATATTTCCTCTCTAAATGGAAATCACGGGGAAACAAATGAGGAAATGTGCAGCAGTTCTGCTAATGATAAATAGCTTCTATATGTTTGGGTTTTGTACCCAGGATAATTTATTCATCGCATTAAACACCTAATCCTGTATTTCCATTTCAATAGACCTGAGAGCAATTCATCTTTCAGAAATAATGAGCTATTATTTGCTGCTTGAAGAAATAAACGCTGGCTTATTGGTTTGAATGTCAAAATAAGTTTGTTAGTTTGTGTCCTTCTGTAAGTTCGACGAAACAGGAAACAGGAAACAGGACAGGATTATTATTATTATGTATTTATTAAATGTAAGTCAAGATTAAATTCTTATATATTTTTTCTGTTTACAAACAATGTGGATACAGCTGAAAGAAAGTGGGGAAAAAACAGTAGGCAACGGTGTGAATATGTTTGTATAGGCTGGGATGTGGCGCAGTGGACTAGTATGTTGGTGTGCGGGTTGGTGTGCGGATCAGAGGTTCAAACCCCACTGCAGTCAGCATGTCGTTGTGTCCCTGGGCAAAACGATGTAAAATACACTTTAAAGGTCCCCTATTATACTGTTTTTCATCAATATATTACAGGTCTCAGATATATACACAACCTGTCTCTGATTGTCTGAAACACCAAACAGATCATTGCAGCATTACCCATAACCCCCTCTGTTTCAGCCCTGTTTCCAAAGTGCTGATTCTCTGTCTGTTACTTTAGATGAAAATAAGGAGCCCCTCCCCACGCCCCTCTGAGAGAGATTTGGTTACAAATAACACAATGGTGCTCTAGGAGGAGATTCAGGTGATAAGGTGGGGGGGGGGGCGGGGGGGTTACCTTGGTTGGTGATTGGCTAATGGTTACACAAGACTAAACATCGTTATGACATCATAACGTGGCCAAAATCTGATCAGCTCATTTTCAGACAGGTTTTTATAGAAATGGATCAAAAAGAGAGATAATCTTTGTTCCTGAAACTTTCAGAATCTCTTTCCACAGAGGGGACACATGTTGAAGTAGAAGAGACATGAAGAAGAGGGGACACATGTTGATGTAGAAGAGACATGAAGAAGAGGGGACACATGTTGACGTAGAAGAGACATGAAGAAGAGGGGACACATGTTGACGTAGAAGAGACATGAAGAAGAGGGACACATGTTGATGTAGAAGAGACATGAAGAAGAGGGGACACATGTTGACGTAGAAGAGACATGAAGAAGAGGGGACACATGTTGACGTAGAAGAGACATGAAGAAGAGGGGACACATGTTGATGTAGAAGAGACATGAATAAGAGGGGACACATGTTGATGTAGAAGAGACATGAAGAAGAGGGGACACATGTTGATGTAGAAGAGACATGAAGAAGAGGGGACACATGTTGATGTAGAAGAGACATGAAGAAGAGGGGACACATGTTGATGTAGAAGAGACATGAAGAAGAGGGGACACATGTTGATGTAGAAGAGACATGAAGAAGAGGGGACACATGTTGATGTAGAAGAGACATGAAGAAGAGGGGACACATGTTGATGTAGAACAGACATGAAGAAGAGGGGACACATGTTGACGTAGAAGAGACATGAAGAAGAGGGGACACATGTTGATGTAGAAGAGACATGAAGAAGAGGGGACACATGGTGATGTAGAACAGACATGAAGAAGAGGGGACACATGTTGATGTAGAACAGACATGAAGAAGAGGGGACACATGTTGATGTAGAACAGACATGAAGAAGAGGGGACACATGTTGATGTAGAACAGACATGAAGAAGAGGGGACACATGTTGATGTAGAAGAGACATGAAAAAGTGGATTTTGCATAATAGGTCCCCTTTAATAAAAATTGTAATTTTCCAGAATGGAGAGACTTCTGTCCTGATGTAACCAGGCAATTAAAGCTTGACTTACTGTCTCCATGACAACTGAGCGGTCCCACCCTGTAGACGGCCTCTGACCCCGGCCTCCTGACGTCACCTAGCAACAGAGACCGGACAGGGAGGCTCTCCTTATGGGTGAGCAGCCCAGAGTCCTCAGTCCTGCAGGAGGAAGAGGAGGAGGAAGAGGAAGATGAGGAAGAATAATTAGGATTTGGAGAATTAAAGACAATTAGAACGAATTGGAGGATAGATGAGGAAGACAGAAGAAATAGAAGCGGAGGAGTAGGAAAGAAAATGGCAATAAGGAGGAGGGAGAGAGATTAGGAGGCAAAGGGCAGAACAATAAGGAGAGATACAAAGGAGAGGATGAAGAAAACAAAGGCGAGGCATTACAGAGGGGGGGAGTAGGAACATGTCAGTATTAATAACCACGTCTGTAAGTATTGCTGTGTCTCAGTACCACTCGGTGCGGTCAGCGTCACAGTTGCAGTAGTGCTGAGGGTCCACACAGTCTCCCTGCAGCCCGCACACACACTGCTGGCTGCCCGGCTGAGCCCCCCCCCAATAAGACTGGACACGACCGGGAGCGGGACCCCCGAGCCACCAGCTGAACGGAGAGCCCTCTGAAACACACACACACACACAGTAAACACACCCTTAACCTTTCTACGTCCCACAACGTAAGCATGTGTTGAAGAGGCCTTGCTTTTTGGGGTTCTCCCTTTCCTGTAGTTTGTTCCTTTGATGACATAACGCGCTCCAACACATTGTACGTGATAGGTTAAGGGGCGGGACATCTCTAAGCGGTTGACCAATCACAACAGAGCCGGCCAGCTAACCAATCAGAGCAGACTGGGCTCTGGTTTCAGACAGAGGGTGAAAAGAGGTGCTTTTTGAACATTAAAGCATGGAGACATGTCCCAGGAGAGACACTACATACTGATATACACCTGACTCAATACACCAGCATTATATTTCCACTTTAAATGGAAATCACGGGGAAACAAATGAGGGAACGAATGTAGCTATTTAGGTTACATGGTCTCTCTGGAAATGTTTACAATAATTGATTACAGCCCGTTTTATAAGTAAAAATGAAGCCCGGAGAAAGGCTTCATCAGCTGTTGGTATCTTTGAAGTCAGTCAAATATGACTGTTCGTTCTGGTAACACATGCAATGCAATTGGTGCACACTAGCTAGCTTGATTTTTCCAAATAAATGAGTTTATAAAAAGTGAAACTAAAGCAACAGAAATGTATCTGGGGGATGCTGCTCATTTATTTTGTACTGGTCCAAACCAGAGCATTGCTAATAAAACGGCAGCCTCCTGCCCTCGGTTGTAATCACACAAAAGATGCTTGCAGGACACAAAAGCAACACAGATACACTCTCTACGGAAATACTGTAAGCCTTATTGTGACCTCAGATGAACAATGTTGCGACAAAAAAACCTCTTTGCTGCTCATCCTCCAGAGATGAATCCAGAGTTTGAGGAAGGGGACGTTTGCCAGCTCGTACCCCGACGCTGCATACATTGTTTTTGATGGAGGGGGATGATGGTATACAGTGACAAGTATATTTTTGTGAGAGAGCGTCGGTGCACAGGAGTGAGAGAAGGTGATTGTAAAGGTTTCTGTTGAGTCAGCACTTTTTATTTATTTTCCCAAAGAGCAGCAGGGGGTTTATAATGGAAACTATCTCTCCTCCCATTCTTCCTTTTCTACCACATCCAGTATTTTCATCCATCATTTTATTACCCACCCACCCAAAAAAGTTGCTTAGCCACACATTTTCTTTTGTGTGTGTAGTCTTAGCAGTTCCACAGGAGAGAGAGAGAAGTTTGAGGATGTGTTTTTATAAGAAATATTGCATGGATAACTTTAGGTCAAACACATTTCTGTAAATGATGATTTGGTTGTACCAGTTATGGGGGATTTTCTTCTGACTAATAATCAATTATTTTACTGATTTTTTTTACACACAATTTCTGCTCAAATACAAATAACAGCAACACCTACAACCTACAAGAAAGAAGCTACAACATAGCATTGCTTTAAGCTAAATGCTAATGTCAGCATGCTAATTTGCTCGCAATGAAATAAGTAAAATGCCGATATTTGGCAGGTATACTATCTACACCATGTTAACCATCTTTGATAAGAATGTACTGTAAGCCCACTGAAATGTAACAATTAGCACTAAACGCAAACTAAAGCCGAGGTTAAATATCATTGGTTTTTCAGGTATTAATCATAAAATGATCGGTCAAATTATGTAAATTACGATGTTTTCCAAATCTTTCCCATTCCAATTTCAGATGGAAATGAGCTGTTAGCTATAATCTGGCATATAGCATCTCTTCTCTTTTTGACATTAATGTTTTTTGATGGATGGTCCTTGTTCAATAAAGATATATAATACTAATAATAATAATTCCCGACAAATAAATCCTTATTTCATGGCAATCCATCTGATAGACGTAGAGCAATTTCATTTCAAAGCAACCACATGGTGGCGCTAAAGGAAAAGTAAGAGGATCATATCTGCAAAGAGTTTCATAGGCGCTTTCACACCGGAGTACTTTTCCCGTTTAGTTCCGTTAGTTCCTGGAATTTTGCGTTCACACCAAAAAGAGAACTTAGTTCATGAGAACTTTTCCCCCCTTTTTAGTCCCTGCTAGAGAGATGGTACTTTCCTGGGGAGAAAAAAGTTCCAATTTCTGATTGGCTGGGCGAATTGCAAACCACGGCCCGTAAAACTCGGAAAGGTTTTGTGAAGCCGCCATTGTATTTGCTGGCATTAGCATTATTAGCATTAGCATTAGCCCAGCGCACCAACGGAGAGAGAATAACTTATGGCAACACAAAATAAAACATGGGAGCGGTGGAGATGAGGAGGTGTCGGCGTTCTGGCGATTTATTCGGAAGGCTTCAGTAGAAGCTGCTGGGAGTCCCAGCAGCTTCTACTGAAGCCAGTCCCCAACTCCGGGGACTTCCGGCCAGGGGCTTCGGGTGGCAGTATACGCCGTGAAGTTGTTTGCGGCCTGCCAGTAAACCCAAAGCAGAAGAAGAAGAAGTGACGTCAGCGGCTTCATTTGCCTAATCTTCCCTCAGGGAACTTATTCCGGTGTGAACGCGATCTGTACTTAGTGCCATGGGGGCACAAAGCCGTGGCAGCACATCACTCCCACCCTCATCCACCTACACTGGTTGCCGGTCAAGTCCCGTTTATCCTACAAAGTACTCCTCCTTACCTACAAGTCCCTCCATGCCCTTGCCCCCCAGTACCTATCGGACATCCTTCACCCACATGTCCCACCCCGGAACCTGCGGTCCTCAGACTCTGGCTTGCTTACCACCCCCCCGCACCAAACTGCGAACCTTCGGGGACAGAGCCTACAGTGTGGCAGCCCCCACCCTCTGGAACGCTCTCCCTGCGGAGATTCGCAACATCCCCACACTCGACGCCTTCAAAAGGGCCCTCAAGTCCCATCTGTTTGCCAAGGCTTTCGGCCCCTAATCGATCTGTTGTTTTGTCTGTCTGACTTTTGTTTTGTTATGTTTGTTTTTGCCCTATTACTTGTAAAGCGACCTTGGGTCCCTTGAAAGGCGCTATATAAATGCAAGCTATTATTAAGTGCTGGATACTAAGTCAGCGGCTTCATTTGCGTAATCTTCCTTCAGGGAACTTATTCCGGTGTGAACGCGATCTGTACTTAGTGCCATGGGGGCACTAAGTGCTGGATACTAAGTGCTAGATGCTAAGTGCTGGATACTAAGTGCTGGGCACTAAGGCCCCGCTCACACGGGACCGTTTGCGTTTATGCACAGTATGCGTATTCAAAAAAGTCTTCCGTTCACATGCATTTGTTTCATTTAACGTGTCTGTTCAAACGAGGCCGCTGGAAACGCTGTAGTACATATGCTGGGACTGTAAGTGGCGCTGTAACTTCCGCCAAAATACACCAAAAGCCGCGAAGAAGAGCAACCCAAGCAGCCCCGCAGCAATGTTGCCATGGCTACCCTTCTGTTTAAGCCCCGAAACTGAAACTGAAAGAAACTGAAGCACGTCCGTGGAGAGGACGGCTCAGAAAGAGAGAGATATTCTCTACAAACACGGGGTGAGATCCTCCTTTGTCAATATAATGGATGAATGCATGAAATCTGACTCTGTTTATTTTGTTTAAGGAGTATATTGGGCGTTAACAATTCTGGTTTGCCTTTTATAATATTATTTCATTCAAGAACCCCTTGTGCGTTTAATTAACACAGCTATTTTTGATAGTTGCTTCAGCAGTGAGCAGGAGAAGTGGGGCTATCGTTATTTTTTCAGGAAATATTCGTATCGAGGTGATTACACGGACTCGGTTGACCCCCCAGAGCGTTTCGTTTGCAAATCTATCCACCTTGGGACCCGTTATTGTTTGTGGGGTCAGTTTCTATCGGCCTCGTGTAAATAATAGGGCTATACGCACGCGAAACTATGCAGATACAAGCCGTTTTCTCCTCGTGTAAACGGCGCCTAAGTGCTGGATACTAAGTGCTGGACACTAAGTACGGCAAAGTACTTGGTGTGAAAGCGTTCATTGACCATTGAAAAACTGCTTGAATATATCAGTCTGGACCAAAGCGGACCTACCAACAAACAGCACGGCTACAAACTGGATGTAATAAAGTCTAGATGACCGTAGCTGTGAGTCTTGACACAGAATTAGGATTTCTATGTTGTATATGCATGAAAGTGCTTGCTGTTGCATGTTCTGCTACCAGGAAAACAATCTATTCAACTTGCTAATTAAAGTGATCCTGCCTCTTTTTCCAATACTCACCGGCTCTGAGTCAACACGAGCACAGGAAAATACAGAACTAACTCAATACTCACTATCAGGACGAGGAATTAAACAAATCCTGAATAATCAATGATTCTGAATCAGAAGAAAATCCCTGAAACCACAACAAAGAGCGTAATGATTGTTTTGTTTCTGGTCGATGAGAGCTGAACAAAGCCTGCTTAACCAAGCTTTCATTAACTTGTATTTAACCCAACAAGAACATTTGGAACAAGTGCTTGTTTACAGTCTTTTCTCATTTAAATGTGCACTTGAGGAGTATTGAAGAAAAAGGGAGAAAACAAAATTCAAGAAGGCTCTCCCGAGATAAGATTAAAAGTTTAAAAGGATTAAGATTAAGATAAGATATTTCAAAAGTGAGATCTACAGCTGAATGATTTGAGTATAATCACAAACACAGAATGGAATAAAATGAAATGTTGGCTCCGGTAGGGCACATGTTGAATATAAAGTTGTAAGAAATAAAATCTTCTATCTTCTGTAGTCAATAACAACATGTGAATAAACATTAATAAAATAGCACCATGAGTCCATCCGTCTCATTGATATTAAGCTACTGTTAGCAGCCCCTTAGCTTCTCATATGGACTGCAAACAGGGGTAAACAGCTGGCATGGCTCTGGCTAACAGCACCTATAAAGCTCACTAAATATCACATGTACAGCATTACATGTTGTTATAAAGTGTATCAAAATAAATGTACAGGTTGGTGCCGGAGAATTTTTTGCTT